CCATGAAACTGAAGTGGTTTAGGAAACATGTTTGAGTGCTTATGTGTTATCTTTCAAATCAATGAAGACTAGAAATGTGTGTTTTATTCTGTGCCAAGAAATGAAATAATTGTCCAATTTGAAGAGAATCAAAATGACAATAAAGCATATCTTTGAATGAGAAAGAATCAACAGTATTTTTTTCTTCTCTTGGAGCTTATGTATAAAGAACAATGCCTTGAATACCCTTCCTCAATTCTTGGAAAGGGTAAACTTATTTTTATAAGTGTATAAATGCTAAAATAATGAAACTATCCAAGGCTCCTTGATACTCTTCTCACTGCTTTAAATATTGTCAAAATAACGCTCAAATAAAACTAACACTGGGGAAAAAAACTGTGAAGTGTAGAGCCTGCAATCTGCAAATGAGAAAACTCCAAACCTCACCATCTCCTGCCTGATCTCATTGTTTTTCACACTCACTTATTCTTCCCCTTTACAAATGTAACAGTGAAAGGATTTGCGTAGGTTATTTGAAAACAGAACTCGGTGATGACACTTAGTCCTCCCAGAATCTGCTTGCATAAGAATGACAGGGTGTGAAATTATATCCTGATGCTTCTTTAGCCCTGCTTTCAGCACCAGCTTGGTACTTCAGTTTGCTTCCAGCTGTTTTCCACCCAAAGTAAAATTTTTCCTGGCCATGTGCTGCCTCTGTTTCTGTCAAGTGGGGTTAGGAACTGGTGTTGAAAAGATGATATAGTGCTCTTTACCTCCTGGAAATTCTTTTCTGCAGTGAGCCATCCTAAAAGGCCAGCTGTGCCCAGCCACACAGCTGTTTCACACAGAAATAACAGCTTCAAGCTCTTTTGTCAAATCCAAGAATCAGATCCTGTAAATTCATGAAAGATGAATGCTACAGTAAACTCTAGGAACTTATTTTTGTATATTAAAAAAATTAAATAATGTAATAAAAAGGAAGTGCTTTGTAGGTGACAATAAGCTTTACAGATAGCTAATGCCACATTTAGTACTGTTCTTTCATGTTTGTGTTCCAGTCAGCCAGCACAGTATCCAACATAACCTCCAGCAGGAAATTATATATTCCATTATTCCTTAGAGTACAATAAAGCCCTTTATTTATGGCAAGCATTCGTTTTGTAGTCACAGTGACAGAATTCATATCTTAGCAGTGTATCAAGGCTTTCCTTCTCTCTTTGTAATGGCTATCCCTAAAATTCTCCTGTTCTTCTGTCGTCAGACCTTCACATGTGGTTTATCTGTCACCTGTAGGAAGAAGGCTCTCAGACAGATTCTGTTCTCTCTCTGGTCAGATGTAACAGAAGAGGCACAAAGTTCATAAGAAATTTGCCCTCTTTTTTTCTTCTCACTGTTTTCTAGTTCCAGTTCCAGCCTGCTGATTCCATGATTAGGGTTGACACTAGAGTGTTGTAAACATACCCAATTACTGGATGGTGTTACGGATCCCTTTTATGAGAGGTGCATTTTCTCTAGCACAGTTTTCCTTCTGAAGTGTTTCATCCTCTTCAAGAAAGCCATGTTCTCCAAGAGGAAATGTTCAATATTGCCTCTGAAAGTCTTCATGGTGAGCATGCACAAATCAGAGGGGCAATTAGAAAATTAAAATATGATTATGTGATTTCAAAGGCTAAGTGTAGGCTACAACCTGAGAAAAGCAAGTAAGACTGAAGGCAGAGGTGGCTGTAGATTGTGTACCTACAACAAACTGGTCTGTCCTTTCTTCTAGACAGAAGTGAGAATTTGGATTGCTATACTTTGCCTACAAAGTGTGAAATGAATGGCACGAGGAATTATTTCATTAGTAATGGTCCAGGATAACTCTCTAATGTTAGAATCCAAACTTATCAATGAAAAAATCACTGTTAGGAACTACAAGAGACAGGAAACAATTGTATTTTAACAGACAAAACTGTTTACAGAACCCTTTATTTTAATCAAATTTTATGTGAACTGTATCAGACTCCTTTTAGTGTTGAAGAAAATGAAGAATTAGCTGTCCTTGATTTTGAGGAGTGGAAGGAAATTTGTAACTGTACCTGTGAATATTTCTGTTTCAGCTACTGTGGAGCAAAGCTCAGTTTTTCTTTAATGCTGCGTGGACTTGTGATCTTCTAAATGGAGGGGAAAAAAATGAGGGCACTCACTTCCTTGTGTGATGTCAGATAAAATAAGACTGAGCCTAATTTATTATGTCTTATAAACAGATGCTCCTGCATATGGACATGTGTTTGTGTATTTGTGTACTGATACATTTTAAGAAATGATTGTCCTCTTGGTAATTGTTGTGAATATTTATTTGTGTAAAAAAGATTCCATTATGGAGGTACCTAAAGTTGTTAGTCACCTCTTCAAACAATTCTCTTCAGTTCCCATTTCCACCTTTGAGTTCCCACCAAGCTTCCTTCTTTTTCCTGGTGTCAAGTAGGAGCAGGCATGTTAGCATTCAGGAAGATATCATCACACAGTTCTTTCTAATTGCCAACACTGAATAAATTCACATTCACTTGTATCTGTGAAATACTCACAGATTGTGCTTGCACAGTTGAGCTTGGACAATCTCATCCATCTCAGATTTTGCTTTCTCACCAAGCTGGAAAAACTCAGAATCCTTTCTATTTCTCAAACTAGAAAAGAGTGTTTTCTTTGGGGGAAAAGTTTGTAAGGGAATATAAAATGCCCTTCCAAGTCCACATACTATTACCAAGTGCATCACGTATTTTGCACTTGTCTAACCGGTTGTTCATCAGGTCAGTTGAAAAGTGAGGCACAAAACCCCCAGAGCAATATCAGCACACTTAATCTTTTGTAAACAGCTTTCCTTTGGAGGCTTGCACAAAAAGAGAAGTCATTACTGAACCATGAGAAAGGGAATTTTCTTACTGCTTGTCAAGCAATGTAGTAATTTTGAAGGACTAAACATCACTGAAAGAAAAATCTTTGTGTTTTGTATCGCACATATCCATGAAGTTTGCATGGGTGTAGTAATAAATGCTGTCTAATGAATTTAAATCCACAAAATCCAAACTTGCTCTGGCAACTGTAGCAAAATACTTTAACCTGTAAATGATAGTTGTTTGTCACTGTCATTATTTCAACACACCTGCAATATTTAGGAGTTATACACATGCTGAAGTCCTCTGTTGCTTTTCAGAAATGCCTGCATAACAATAAACCCCTTCCTTCTCCCCTGACTGGGGATTTTGAATTGTGAGCACGTCTATGGTTTATGACAGTGGCACAAAGTTGCTGTAGACTTGCCTAAATTGAGCAGCAAAAGATCAGCACAGCCCTGGTGAATGCACCTTTCCTGGTGGTGTGGCTGGCTGGCTGGATGGATGGTCACATCCACTAAACCAAAATTACGAAGTCAGTATGGAGTCTGCTGTGGTTGGCACAACCCAAGGTTAGTTTCTACTGTATCTGATGTCTCTCTGCAATTCAGCTGATTTTTGAAGCTGAATTAATCACATTAACAAGAATTCTCATGTTTGGATAGAGGTGTGAAGCTATTCAAGGCAATATGTTTTTCTTTTGGATCTGATATTTGCTAGTTGACTCTAATATGTTGCACTTGAACGTGGCCTAAATTGGTGTATACTCACAAGATGTTACTTATATTGGGTTTCATATGTCATTTTTAAGGGAGATAAAAATGACTTCTCACGTGTATTCTGTGGCCATGAAACACCACATTTAGGGACTGGGTTCCATCCTCTGACTGGAGCAGTGTCACAACGTGCTTACTTCAGGATTTTAAAAACCCCAAAACTATCCACCAGCTGTTACAATGTAGTTTGTAGAGATTGTTAGTTACAGGATGAGATCAGTAAGTGTGCTCTAACTTTCACCATCCGGCTTCACCCATGAGCTGAAATTTAATGGCAAAAGTATGAGAAATGAATGTGAGATGCTTCAATACTTTCTTATTCATGACAAGTTAGACATTTTTGCCATAAAATTAAAGGGTTCTAAGGACATGGTGCAGCTGTGATCGAGTCACTGCTAATTTTGAGAGCAACCTGGCTCTATATAGGCTTTGACATTTTTCATGTTCTAAATTTCACTACAAAATAAAACCTCATACATTTATTGCAGACAAGTGCTGAGAGTCATGAAGATTACAGTTTGAACAAGCAGATTTCAGCATGAACATATGAAATGTATTCCTTCATGTAATGCCCAAAAATATGGTTAAGGAAATATAGTTTTTCAAATAATTTGGAAGTTGAGGCACAGAACTCAAAGAAATATGTTTTGAAGGGGCTTGTTCACATGATTTCTCCTCTTTGAACCACTTTTATTTATTTATTTATTTTTTAAACACTTAAATACATTGTAATTATACAGAGGGTTTGTATATTCTTTTATGAGTTTATGGATAAATGGTGAACATCTGGTTAGGCAGGTTATTTCAAGGACAGGGAAAAAAGGGTAAGTCAAAACAAAGGCTGTGTATGTTCTGGATATTGTATTTTTTTCTTGGGAAAAGCAGCTGTGTGAAGTTACAGAAAATGAGAAGTTTAGGCGTGAGGGATTTATCCCCTGCTTATTTATCTGCTCCTGGATTTCTGCATTTGAACTGTGCTGCTGTTGGGGTGGGACTTTGTTGTTTGTGCATTTTTAAACCCCATAGCCTTGAGCCTCTGGGGAGGTTTACAGAGCCACCCAAATGCATGAACTGGCTCTTCCTAAGAGGCCTTCTCAGACCTCGGGGAAAGGCAATTGGTGGAGTTTCCCTGTTGGCACTCACTGTGAAAGGGAGCTATGGAAAATGGCTGTGTGGAATGCTCCCCTTCAGAGAGCACTGCAGGAAAAAAAGTAAAATAAGTATTTTCTACCTAATTAGTGCTGCTTGCCTAACTGGAGGAGGTTGATGCAGTGGCTTTTTTTATTTCTTTTTTTCTTTCTTTCTTTCTTTTGTTTTTTTCTTTAATTTTCAATTTTATTTTTTTTTATTTTCCTCTCCTTCTGTGTTACAGATATACGTGGACTGCAGGGATTTCTCGATCAGGCCTCCAGACTGGGACTTGATGTATCATTACAAAAAGTGGACAGGAACATCAGCAGAGTGTTTTCCAACCTTTTTACCACCATGAAAACAGAAGAGCTGAACCGCTATCGGGACACGCTGCGAAGGGCGATCTTACTCCTGAGCCCACGGGGAGCCCAGACTTTCATTAATGAGGTCAGTGCACAGTGTTTTTTATCATCAACATTTCAGAAACATGTATTATGACCCGTGTTTTGCCCTTTTGACAGTGCTGGTTGTTTAATGTCAAATAAGATTGTCAGTCTGTAGTTCCAGGGAATTGAAAGATCACATGCTCCATGGAATGCTTGCTTTGTGGGTAATGCAAATGGGGCAGCATAGGCCAGATATTATATAATATATAGCTCTCTGGGGGATAATTATTTTTGTCTGGTTGTCTTCTGTATCAATACTTTTGTCCTGGATTTCAACCACTGTTAAGAAGTGACCAGAAAATCTGCAATAATCTATTTGAAATGAAACATGATGTGCCTGAGAGAGCTGCCCTTGCTGTGGAAATCTCCAAATTTGTATTAAAGGGGCACATTATTGATGTTTGAAAGTTGAATCAAAGAGATTTTTATGAAATATGAAGTTGGAATTATATGTTTGTCTTCTTTTCTTAGTGGTTTCTTGAAATCAGTGATGCTAATTAGGACAGGGAGGTAGCTGTTGGGCAAACTTTTAATTAATTTGCTGTGGGCTAAGTTTTGGCATTAATTAGTTTTATCCAGCTTTCTTAATATTAAATAATGAATTATTTTACAGTGCTCTATATGTCAGAGTTGAGAATGAGAGTTTGAGCCTCAGTTTAAGTTTGTGTATTCATTAGATAAGATTTTGGCAATAAAGTAGGGGTTTGAATTTTTTTTAACTAACCCAGGGATATGACTGAACCCAGAAATTAAAATGTGGATGGGACCTGTTTCCAATTATCAGTTTTGTTGCATCAAAGCTGTTAAATTAAAAAAAAAAATCAACTCAAATTAGCTCATTAGAGGTTTTTTTTTTACCATAACAGCCTTAATAAATTATCCACATTTGTGTTCATCAGTGATTTTTTAAATAAGAGGGTAAATTTTATCCTAAATAAATGAGGAAAATAGGTAGTTTAGAAAAGAGTAAGCACATGGATAAATTCTCCTCAGGTTTGTGCATACACAAAGGTATTTCCAGTAGAAGGATGATGTTATGTGCCCTCAAAGTGTGTGCAGCTCTCCACAGCTCAGTCAGTTGGTTTCTTAGGAGACCTCCAGCAGAAATGCACTTTGCTTGGCTTTCCAGGGAGTCCTGACAAAGTATCCAAACAAGGTTGAAAGGAAGTGTTTTATTCAGACTCCAGCTGGGTGGGAGTTGTGTCCCCCTTGGAGGCACAGGGCTCTGGGATTGTTTGGTGGTCAGGTGAGTTCTCTGTCAGAACCCTGAGGTGTCTCCAGGGTAGGGGCCAGTATTAAACTGTATTAAACTCTTTTACTATTCACTTCACCTTAAAGCACTGTGTATTATAGGCATTAAGACTAATGACCCTGATATATTTCCAGCTCCCTGCAGGAGTTTAACAGTGGGCAGAAACGAAAAGTAATTTATTTGGCAATCTTCCTATATTGAATCTTGATTGATTCAGAAAAGCTTTATAAGACAAAATTTAAATCTTAGAAAGGAATTCTCAAAAGGCTTGAGATACGAGGTGCAGAGTATAGGGGAGAATCTTTCCCAGACAGAGGCTGAACTTATATTGTGTGGAGAGTTACAATGACTGCAGTTCTTCAATATCCCAGCCAATAAGTGCAACTAATCATCTACAGCACATTTTCAGGGAGTCTAGAACAGCAACCTGCAGCTTAAATGGAATACACATTTTTATGTATTTTACTGAAATGCATTGTTCACAATATGTGGCAGTAAATGCCTTTGATGCCTTTACTCAATTCCACAGTTGGTATTTTCTACTATAGGTACCATATAGCTCTATACTGACTGCTGTTGTTACCAATCTCTGCACCTTGGAAATTGAGTGTTTTTTTGTTTGTTTGTTTTTTTTTTTTTCCCAGTTTTTTGGGAAAAAAAGCCCTCTGAAAAAATCTGAGTAGCAGTGCCAAAAGAAAATGTAAAGATTTTATTTTTAGATTTTGCACATATTTATTTTCTTTTTTCTTTAACTCTAGTTAGAAAAAAAAAATTGAAGAACAGAGCTCTGTTAAAGCTCTGTTTCTGGAAATGGAAAATTTCAAGTGAAAAAGAGGTTTCTTACTAAGATTTTCAGTTTTGCTGAGTTGATATTTCGTAGTTGGGGAGAAATGTCTGGCAAACTTCAACCAGATTTTTGTTAAAATGTGTTGGCTAATAGCATATCTTCATGAAAACTGCGTGCTGAACAACAACCCTCTGGTGAAATGCAGAACAAAAATAAGAACAGTGTTTGGATTATGAAACCTGAAATGAACAGATTTAACAGATTTTTCCTAGCACAAATCATAGATATCAGCCATTGGAAGCTGGTACAAGATCTATTTTGCCTAGCTTGATAATGCAAATAATATATTTTTCTTACTAAAAATACAGATCTGGATTTAAGTCTCATCATCTCTTGGGTGGGCCAGAGAGTTCTCATCTGATTTGGGATGTACAGAGTTAGGGGACTCTGCCATCTCATTTGTGAAAAACATTTGAATCATGGAAGAATTCAATTTCTCTAATTTTTATTTAGGCATGGTTTTCATTTAACTGTATTAACATTTATCAGTGCCTGGCTCTGTCATGTGTCAAAGTTACTGCAGTAGAAATTATTGACCTTTTGTAAGTTTTCAAGATTTAGTATTTTGCTATGAAACTGCTTTGACTGTAAGAACAGAGAGAACAAGAAAAAAAATATTTTTGATGGTATTGCTGTAAACCTGGAATCAGCCTTTGTTCAGAACAGGGATGGTAAATGAATTTATAAAATATTAAATATCTTAGATTATGCATTAAAAGGGTATTTAGGCACTGAAGCAAACCTTATCTAAAGAGTGTCCCTCCTTAAACAGTTGAGAAAAATGTTCATTTCTCCATCTGCAAAAATCCCAGATATATCTGCCTCAATTGTAACAGGTGTATGTGTGCCAGGAAAACAGTTTTATATCTTGAAAAGCACGTGCAAGGCAGTAGGAAAAACTGGTAGTTCAGAACTTGGAAGATTTAGCACTTTTACGTTTTCTATTAGTTTCTTAGGTCCAGACACAGGAGTCTGAGACTCAAAAGGCTCTCTCCTTGAGATAGTGAGAATTCACCTGCCTCTTTCTCTTAGCAATGGATATGTTTTTTTCAATTGCAAGTAGAGGTATTATTTGTATGGATTGCTTTATTCATTAAGGGCTGTACAGTGAAATGAATAAATGGAAAAAAAAAGTTTAAAAAGTTCAAAGTGGTGACAAAAATGATGAAATGATGGGAGAGCATGACCTCTGAGCAGAGGCTTCAGGAACACGCTACAGACAGCGGGAATAGAGCTGCCAGGTACTCGAGAGGAAACATGAGCAGAGGAGGAGGAATTACTTGAGATGATCATGGGTTGTCTAACAGGAAGTAATGACCCAAAACTAACCAGGGAATGCTTTCTAACAGGGAGGTCAGTGGGACAATGAGAGTGCTGGGCAGGAGAGTTCAGGGAGACATCGTTCTGCAAGGCATTCAGGAGTTCACTGGATAAAACACTCTGGTCAATCAGGCTAGCAGTTTGTCCTGAACTGGTGTGCAGGATGTTCTAGGTGACCCAGGAGCCCTTCTGAAGACCTGCCAGGAAACATTTGTTGTGTGAATAAGTTTAGATTTTGTACTTTTTATATACAACCTATCTGAGGAGGAAGAAAAGAACTTATAGTTCAGCACTTCTCCGGTTTCCTGTGGCAGATGTGCAGTTCCTGACCTCTGTGGAGGGCTTGGTTTGTTAATTCTTCACAGAACACATATTTCAATAGGATTTGTCTTTATAAATATATAGGCGATATCAATAGCTTCATAGACTTTTCCTTCTTTGCAGTATTTATATACAACCTTTGCTGTGGAACACCAGTGAAATGGAGGCTGTAACCCAGTTGCATGTAGTTATTGACTTGAAAAAAGAAGGCATTATCAGCTTTACAGAACCTTTAACTCAGCATTACTTGTATTTTTGGCAGTTTCAGTGAAGTGAAAAATGTTTTTGTTGAGGTGGATCTCTGAAAGTGCTGTAGTTCCTTGTGAGCCTGCCTTGCCTGTAAGCTGGTGAGCTGACTGCAGGAAGGTTAAATGCATATTCCTGCAGCACAGCAGCCTAAAGCAGAACTCTTTGCATGCCTAGGATAGTAAGCAAATTTTAAAAAAGAAGACTATAATAAAAGAGAGAAGATTATTTCCTTTAAAAATTAGTACAAAACTGCTGTATCAATGCGGCTGGGTTATGTGAATCACAGCGATTCCAATTTGAGTTGAAGCTAAAATTTTCCAGTGTAACACTGTGTTAGACAGCTGTAATTTATCTCTGCCCTGTTTTTATAATCATCTCAGTGTCCTCATTGGAAAGTAAAACTTTCCTGTTTCTCTTTCACCCTGGTTCCTGCTAAGTGTTCTCATGGAGTCTTTAAAATAAATATAGATATCCTGCTTTTGGTTTGGGCTTTTGGGATCGTTTCACAGTGATTTGTAGCCTTCCTTCAATTCTGGTCACTGAAGATGCTGAGCTCCTTCCTCCCAGAGCACTCTCAGCTGGCACTTGTTAGGGAACAGTGCTCCAGCCTTCTCTTTTCCCTTCTGCAGTTGGTGACATGCTATTACTTGACTGGAGCTGAATGAATTATTTATGGCATCTTGAACAATTTGCACCCACAAGCAATTGTATGAAATGGTTTTCCAGGGACATTCACTTCTCAGAATTTAATAGGAAAAAAATTCAATATTAATTTTCTGGCACTTAGCACTTCATCTTTCTCTCTTTTTTCTTTTTTTTTTTTTTTTTTTTAATTTTTGTTGCATCATTCAGCATATTAGTCCATATCTCTGTTTTATATGCAGTATATAAACATCTTGAAATATTGTTGAAGAATTTTGGAAAAAAATATTATGCCTCTTCTGTTTTAGAAGGCAATTTCTATGTTTAAAGAGCTGCTAGTGATTTGTGAGTGCTGGTAACAGAACTGTAG